TCCAGTCTTCAAAAAGGGCAAGAAGGAGGACCCGGGTAACTATAGACCGGTCAGCCTCACCTCCATCCCTGGGAAAGTGATGGAACACCTTATCCTTGGTGCCATCTTAAGGCATATCAAGGATAAGAGGGTTATGAGGGGCAGTCAACATGGCTTCACCAAGGGGAAATCATGTTTGACCAATCTCTTAGCCTTTTATGAGGAAATAACACAGTGGATGGATGATGGCAGAGCGGTGGATGTGGTCTACCTTGACTTCAGCAAAGCGTTTGACACAGTCTCCCACAGCATCCTCACGGCTAAATTGAGGAAGTGTGGACTGAATGATCAGGTAGTGAGGTGGACTGTGAACTGTCTGAAGGAGAGAAGCCAGAGAATTGTAGTCTATGGGGCTGAGTCTAGTTGGAGGCCTGTAACTAGTGGAGTGCCTCAAGGGTCAGTACCAGGACCAGTATTATTTAATATATTCATCAACGATTTAGATGAGGGAATTGAGCGTACTATCAGCAAGTTTGCTGATGACACTAAGCTGGGAGGAGTGGCTGACACGCCAGAAGGATGTGCTGCCATCCAGCAAGACCTGGACAGGCTGGAGAGTTGGGCAGGGAATAACTTGATGAAATATAACAAGGGAAAGTGTAGAGTCCTGCATCTGGGCAGGAACAACTCCAGGTTCCAGTATAGGTTGGGAAACGACCTGTTAGAGAGCAGTGTAGGGGAGAGGGACCTGGGGGTCCTAGTGGACGACAGGATGACCATGAGCCAACACTGTGCCCTTGTGGCCAAGAAGGCCAATGGCATCCTGGGGTGTATTAGAAGGGGGGTGGTTAGTAGGTCGAGAGAGGTCCTCCTTCCCCTCTACTCTGCCCTGGTGAGACCGCATCTGGAATATTGTGTCCAGTTCTGGGCCCCTCAGTTCAAGAAGGACAGGGAGCTGCTGGAGAGAGTCCAGCGCAGGGCAACGAAGATGATTAAGGGAGTGGAGCATCTCCCTTATGAGGAAAGACTGAGGGAGCTGGGTCTCTATAGTTTGGAGAAGAGGAGACTGAGGGGTGACCTTATAAGTGTCTATAAGTATATAAAGGGGGAGTGTCATGAGGATGGAGCCAGGCTCTACTCAGTGGCAAACAATGATAGGACAAGGGGTAATGGGTACAAACTGGAACACAAGAGGTTCCACTTAAACTTGAGAAGAAACTTCTTCTCAGTGAGGGTGAGGGAACACTGGAACAGGCTGCCCAGGGAGGTTGTGGAGTCTCCTTCCCTGAAGACATTCAAAACCTGCCTGGACACATTCCTGTGTAACATTATCTAGGTGTTCCTGCTCCGGCAGGGGGATTGGACTAGATGATCTTTCGAGGTCCCTTCCAATCTCTAGCATACTGTGACATCTGATTGCCTTGTGCTCCCTTCCTGTGTCAGATCTCAGCCACCTGTGAGGGAGATAATGGCTTGTGCTCTTTCAGATATGCACATGCAGCCCTCTCTGGGTCAGTGCTAATGTGGAGCAGTCAACTCATGGAGAAATCAGTGTTTCATATATTGCATAGCTGATTTTCCACACTGAAAACCCCTTTTTGTTTACCTAAGGTATTAGTTCCTTTCCTTATGACTAGGAGGGTTATTATGATACCTTTCAGTAAATGTTAACCATTGATTCAAAGAAAACTCCAGGAGTAAACTTGCCAACAAAGTTTTCAAGTTGACAAGCAGGTATTCGTTATTGCGGCGCCAGGAGACATGAGGGATAGCTCCTCCTAACGTATGTCCCTGTATTGGTACACAAGCCATCCTTATATATTCCCTGGACATACATATTCATGAGGCTACGTATGGATTACATTATTTTCCAGACAGTTCCCCACATGTGTACAAAATTGTGGTGGTGGTCTCTGAGGGTTGTTTACTTCTTCCAACAATCTTCATCACTTCTGGCAGCCTCTGAAGCACGCACAGTAGATGCTTATACCAGCTTAATTGGTCTGTTAACACCACAGACATAACAGTCCTCCTGTCCTTCTACTTATCAATTAGTTTAACTGCAGCCCATCCCTGACACCTGCCATTTCCAGATACTCTTTATCCTTGCATCCTGTTCTTCTAGCATGTTTCTCTTACATTCATTTTGTACTAAGGTCATAGGGCCTAAAACTACATCAACTATAATGGTTTATCTTACACAAGAATTCTCAGTATTTTCTCTAGCTGTACTCTGTTGTTTTTTTTTTCTGTGTATCATGCACCTCGGTAGTTTTCCATTGCTACTGTTACAAAGCCATCAAACTTAGCATTACTTAAAACTGATTCTAAAGGTTTATATATTCCATTTTGCAATTTTATGCCCCCCCCCCCCCCCCCCCCCTTGTCTCACCATCAGAATTAATATCAAGCACACTGGATAGCACCTGGAGGAAAACAAGCTCTGAAATGCTGTGGAATGATTCTCTAACATGATGGGTAAATACCTCCCCTGGAAAATAAGCAAGAGAAAAGCAAGTCATGCTGCAGTATCCATGGGTCATTCTTTCTTGTAGACAAGTGGAAGATAAGATTGCCTGTGTCTTTGGGGTAACTGTTGAGTGGCTTTTTTGTTTCTTAATACAGCAGGTTGATCTTCCAGGAGAGCTCACTATTTAGGGAGTCTTTTGGCTACAGAAAAGGTAACCTACCATATTCAAATGGAGTAACCCAATTTTTCCACATTTTCCATGATAATATAGAATTTGGAATGTTTATAAGAAGTGCTGACAAACACAGAACAAAATGTTAGATAGTCTTTGAAGTAAAATTAATTTTTGTTAGGTATATTACCATGTACCAGGACCAAGGTGATGATAGGCTCAGTGCCATGCTTTGCACACCCTGAGGCTGCTCTGCAGTGAGCAGTTGGACAGCATAGAGATAACCGCACAGAAGAAAATGTGTTCCCAGTGTACATAGGCTGTATTTTCCAGCTCAGAAAAGGAAATGGTCCCTTTTTCTGAACAGCGCTTCTGTTTTTAACACTGGGAGAGGCTAAAGCTATTAGCAGCTTAGGGAACTGGAGCTGAATATTGTGCAAGCACTCATCTATCTGTTCAGGCAAACTGTTCTCCTTACAACATCACTCCTCCGGTAGCTCTCTTTCATCTCTATTTGCGCACCTGCGTGCTGTCCACACCTGCAGTTCCTGACTTGCAGCTTTCTCCTACTTCCCCTTGCCTGCCTTTAGTATGGCAGAGATGCTCAAGGCACCAGCTCAGACACAAGCCTTGCAGCCTCAGGCCACCTCTGCAGGCACAGAAGACAATTGATGTTGGCTGTAACCTGCTGTAGGAAAACAGAATCGCCATCTTGCCCAGAGCCGGCATGTTGTGTGGCTGGGGTGCTTGGCAATGGTCAGCAGGACAACTTTATTGTCACGTCTGCACTAAGTAAATGAGGTCCTCATAATCTGTGCTGTATGGCTCCCTGCACAATGTAGTGGTGATTCATTGGCATTGTGTGAATAAGATGCAGGGACTCCTTAACCCAGAAGAGATCACATAATTTATTTAGTGGAAGTCTCATATACCCTGTAATGCACCCATATCTGGGTACAGGCACTGTATCCTTTGGAACCACTAAGATGGTTCCAAAGAGTTTTTTAATATATTCAGCTGAAAACAGAGTTAAAGTGGGCACACTGAGAACTGCTCTAGCATACATAGCGGCATCCATTTATTCTGTAGTTTTGACTTGGAGCAAAACTAGGAGTGGTACTGCAGCATGTGGACTAAAAGCTAATGATTATTATGCAGATTGTGATTCTCTTTGCATTAGTTCTGTGAAGATCTTACCCAGAGAAATGCCAGCTGGGGTAGCAACAGGCTAGAAATTTGTTTTCTTTTCAGTCATATCAAACCTAGATCTGATTCTTTCAGCCACGCAACAGTGATGCCCCTTTATATGAAGGCCCTCTAACGTATAGGTATTTAGGACATATTCTTTATCCTGCTGCAGCAAAGACGCAGCCAGCATTACAAGGTGCCTAATAAGAGAAAACGGGTTTCTGCTCATCTTACTTCCAGTTCTTAGAAATCCCTGTCAGTGCAGTAGCAACGGATCATTTCCGTAACAAAAGATAGTATAACTGGCTGTCGTGGTTTAAACCCAGTCAGACATAAATCATGCAGTCGCTCTCTCACTCCCCCTCCACACCCCCCTTCTTGCCCTCCCCCTGCTCCTGGAGGGATGGGAGGAGAATCAAAAGAATGCAACTTCCCCGGGTTGAAATAAGAACAGTTTAGTAACTAAAGTATAACACAAATCACTACTGCGACTACCAATAATAATAATGATAAAGGAAATAACAAGGAAAGAAAGTACAACACCTCACTACCCGCCGACTGATAACTCGCCCCACCCTGCCTGACCAAGCACCGACCGATACCTAGTGCAACCCCGCAGTTCCCTAGCCCTTCCGGGTAACCCTCAGTTACATCCTGGGCATAACGTGCTGAGGTATGGAACACTTCTTTGGCTAGTTTGGGTCAGATGTCCTGTCTCTGCTTCCTCTTGGCTTCCCCTCCTCCCTGGCAGAACATGAGGCTCACAAAGTTGTTGGTCAGACTAAAACATTTGAGCGGTAACTAAAAACATCAGTGTTATCAGCACTGTTCCCAGGCCAAAAATCAAAAACACAGTGCTGCACCAGCTACCAAGAATGAGAAAAAATGACTGCTACTGCTGAACCCAGGACACCTATGAGGGGGTTTGACATCACAAAACCTTGGCATTTCTATTTCCAGCCAACCCATTATCTTAAAGGGGAGTGAAGGGCAGATACCGGAAAACAGTGCAGATGTAGTTTCATTTGCTGAGATGGGATTAAGAAGAAAATGAACTATTCTTGCTTTTGAGAATATCTTCCTCACCTGAAGGGTAACTTTGTACTTCTGAGGAACTGTTGTGGTTTAAGCCCAGCTTGTAACTCAGGACCACACAGCCACTTTTTCAATTCCCTGCTCCATCCTCCTTCTCCCAGAGGGATGGGGAGGAGAATTGAATGAATGTAAATCCCACAGGTTGAGATAAAAACTGTCCAGTAACTAAGGTACAATACAAAACTACTACTACTACCACCAATAATAATAACAATAAGGGAAATAACAAAGGGAGGGAATATAAAACTGAAAGGGCAAAAAGAAAAGAAAACAATAAACATAAGTGATGCACAATACAATTGCTCACAACCCACCAACTGCTACCCAGCCCCACCCGAGAAGCAATCTGGGCCTTCTGGGTAATTCCCCCCAGTTCATATACTGGGTATGATGTGCTGCAGTACAGAATACCCCTTTGGCCGGTTTGCATCAGGTGTCCTGTCTCTGCTTCCTCCCACATTCTTGTGCCCATTTTCTCTGGCAGAGCATGAGAGACTGAAAAGTCCTTAATCAGAGTAAGCATTACTTAGCAACGACTAAAAACACTGATGTGTTATCAGCATTGTTCTCAGACTAAAGGCAAAACACAGCACTGCACCAGCTACTAAGAAGGAGAAAAATAACTGTTAAGCTGAACACAGGACAAGAACACAGTTGATCTTTCCTTTCAGTCCACATGTGCAGCACTGATGGAGGTAGCTGGGACACCTGCCTGCAGTAGTGGTGCAGAGAAATTTGCCACCACACAGACAAGCCGCTTATCTTGTGTTAGAGAAACCTCATTTACAATTTGGGAAATATAAACTGGCAGTTAACCCACAGATAACTGTTTAGGGAAGCCTAATAGTATGGGGTGCTAAGAATGTGCTTTGGCTTAATCTGAATCTTTGCCCCTGCAAATGTTGGAATATTTGCAGTAGATGTCTTTCCACATGGGGTAAATGCTATAAACTCTTTTTTTTTTTCAAGCATTTGGTATATGTAGGTTTGAATAAAGCCGTTCATGCTCTGAAATTATACTGTTCTGGAAGGTTTCTGCTGTCTATATTTAGTTGAAAAAAAATTTATTTTTTTTTTTTTTTGTTACTACTGTTTTGGTTATTGTGTGTCAGCAGCAGACTTGTGTTTCCTGTTAGCCTGGCTTCCTGGCTTACTGAGGCAGCTGAAAGTGGGGTCTGAAAGCTACAGGGGCCAGCTGCCTTAGCTTCACCAGCTTTGCCAGCTGGAGCAATATCATAGGCTTTATTCTATCCAACGTGGAGTTTTATAAGAGACAAGGCAGCAGGATAGGAAGCAGGGAAGAAATGGCATAAAGGAGGAGAAACCACTAATCTTCAGGTGAGTAGCGCTGCAGTTTCTCCATGCTGTTTGTTTTCTTTAAAGATGGGGGTGCATATAGTGTTCAGGAAAGTGAGGAACAGTAATCAGACCTCCTGCTGTTGTGACTAGGGTCAAGGCTTTGCCTGTGTGCCCCCAAGTGGGGGGCATGGTCCAGGTAATACTGGGGCTCTGAAGCGCCTCATATTCCCATGGCCGCACCATAAGACCGTCTTGGCCCCAAACAAACAAGGGCCTCGCCTGCACAATGTCTCCAAAGGCCTAATGTCTTTATAGATGTGGGTGAGGATGCTTTCCCACTGCCTTCCAGTGAAGTTTCCTGATGTTGCCCGCTGGTTACCACAAGCTGACCTTGAAGTAAGGTGAAGCCCCAGAGCAGGTTGACATAATGGAGCTACAGGATGGTGAAAATATTCAGACCTTTTCTGAGCAACCCTGCGGGAGTCAACCCCTGGCTCCCAGTCTCAATTTATGCCCAGAAAAATCGCCCAGCTGATAAAATTCTCTGGAGCAACAGTGACATCTTGTGGGTTAATTTTAAGTGTGCTGTATATGGAAATGTTCATACCAGTCTCCTTCACCTTGCCTTGGGTGGAAAACAGCAGCCTGAATTAAAACGGCATCAACAGCCATGTGCTTAGCATACCCCTAGACCTGATGGTAAAATATCTGATGGATGGCTAAAGAGCTTATAAAGTCTTATGCCAAAGCCTCGCATGGAAATTCAGGTAGCAGGATCATTTTTGTAAATAGTATTTTAATTGGAAACTGATTGGTAAGTGGTTATTGCATGTATTTCATTAAGAAGACACATAGGAAGCTTACTTGTACATGGACAACAGGAGGCTGAAGTTTTGTTAACATGTATTTTTGAAGATGCCAATGTCCTAGTTTTAATTTGTGAGAAGGCATCAGATGAATGTTGATTCAGGTCTCCATTCTCATCACAGTACACACATTTTTATTTTCATTTTCATCACTGAGCATAACCTTTCTACTGTGTTTGCCAATCTGCTTGCAAGGCTTCATTTGTTTCCAATCTAATTCTCCTTTTTTTTTTTTTTTTTTTTTATCCTGGCATATTGAATCTGTTGCTCCGGAGGATTTTTCAGTCCAGCTGGGCTTCAGTTATTCTCTGATTTCCCAAGGCTCCATTTTGAGTCCTACTGTGATTTGCATTTGTAGACTTTCAATGGGTAAGCATTATAGCTTCTCAAACGCTGTACTGTCACATCCTTTCCAATGGCACTTGACTCCTGCTGATTTTGTAAAAAAGCATGTTTTGCATAATATTCTGCATGACATTAAATTACGGAGATCTTTAAAAAACCCTCTATTCGAGAGAAAAGCGAGCTGCTATTAATTAGCTGTCTGATGCCCAGACTCATGTTGATAGTGATGGTTTCCCTTAGTTATGGTTTTATTAATCCATAGGAAAACATGCCATTATAGATATTAAAAATTGATTTCAAAAGAATACTGCCAGCTTGAAAAGCGGCAATCAGTCTTTTGAATTATCAAGCTTTTAATAGAATCGTTTTAAAAAGCAAAGTTCTAGATTTGTCTAAAATATTTTTGCCAGCAAAGTTGAAGATAACCTCTCCATGTGTGTTAGCACATACTTCTGCACACAAATACTGGAATGCCTGCTTCAGAAAGCTTTGAAATCTCTTTTTTTGAACATACAGAAACTTCAGGAGTGGATGAGGTTTCTAAAGAAGAATTTCTCAGGATGGTTGAAGTCCTTTCCACTTATTTCTCCTCAAAATGTGCCTACTCAGACCTATGCACATAAAAACATGCCCACAGGTTTCTGCACGTACATGCAAGATCTTTAATGTTTTTTTGAAAATTAATGTTAACAACATGCATCACCTCTTATTACTCATTTCCTTGCATCACCCTTGTTTTAAAATACAATTCCTCCTTTGCCCTAAATACATCGTATTGTCCAGGATTAAGGACTGCCCTCGTGCACGTACCCACTGGGAGTTGAAACCTTGTAATGAGAGATGTTGCTTCCTCACAAGGTTTCTGTGGGGTCTGAGCCATATTTTGCCTTTTTACCCCTGCTGAAAAAGAGATAACCAAGATTTTCTGTATTGCCACATACCACCTTTCTTTTAAAAACAGCAACATTGACAAGGAGTTTCCTGGAATCATAGCTTTAAAATGAATAAATAGGAAAGAAGGCTCACAACCCAATAATCTACTGATCTTCTGAAGTGATAATTCATCACAGTGCCATCTGTTTAGAAACATTATAAATCAAATGCCTTCCCTGTACCTATAATGATATCTATAACAAAGTGATCTTTTTAAATCTATTAAAAAGAAATTAAGGGAGATAGCAATCCAGCAATCTTGCAGTTTCAGAACTGCATTCTGTTGGACATTAAAAATCAATTAATAAAATAATATACTTGTAGTTTGTCATTACTATTTTTAGTGCAATCAATGTTTTTCTTATATAAATTTCAAAGAATTGTGAGGTCTGTTCTTCTAGTGATACATGCATATTAACAGGGCAAAGAGGTACATGCCAGAGCACAATATACTGCTACACTATCACTTATAATTTACTTTCTTTGAAGGAAAATAATTTGTACTGTGATTCATTTTGCAATACAGTCCAAATGCTGAGGTTTTTTTGCAGGTTCTTCTGGCCTAGAGTATATATTCACCAGTTTTCCTACCTATGCTTTTGCATGCTTACTAGACCAGGAGCATAATTGCATTACTGGAGTTTATTAGGTGTAGAAGTACCTTTAATACGCTGAATGTTCTTTATGGGAGAGTAGTTACAGACTTATATGGGTTATACCCATGTGTTGCTGATTTGCAGCAAAAAATACATTAATACATACATGCTCATTAATACCTTTTATCAGTTGCAAAGACAGAAGAATTTTCTGAAAATGGTTCTTTTAGATCTTGTACTTTCTTTCCTTTAATAGTTTGATTACAAGGTTTAGGAGAACTTTCTTCCAAGGGAGACTAAGTGCAGTTTCTTCAGAAATGCTGTCAGTGCAGCAGCCATCTGGAGCATAGCTCTGTGCACACAGCAGTGGTTAAACTGGCTCTTCCTGTGCCATGAAGTTACCTGTGTTCCTGCCCTTTCCTTCCTTTAAGCTGTGATCTGAGAAATGCCTTTGTTTAAAATCCAGCAGAATTATGAGTAAAGATGTTGCCCATGTGCTTGCAGTTTCTCAAAGGTCGGTCCAGCTGGCAAGCTTTCCCTAGGTTAGGGATGATTAGCACCAGAAACTTTGAATTTGATTTTAGTGATTTTTAATGACTTGCAAGCTAACTGGAAAATTCAGGTATGTTTTCCTAAATTTGTGAGTTTCTAGTTATGCTGCTGTGCTTCAAATTTTAAGTTCATAAATGTTTTTCAACAAATCACTCTCACCTTCTTATGTTCTAAACATTTGTAATATGTGGTGCTGAGACACTTTTAACACATTTTACCCTGGAACTGAGGTAAGTTTAGAATTTTTCCAGGTATAGCTGAGAAAAAAAAGCACTTCCATTGAAAATGCAGTGGATTACAACAGCTCCTGATATTTAAAAAACCCCAGAAGACTGACAGAAGATCCTATCCTGGAGATCTTGTTAAGGCTCCTTAATAATTTGCCTCGTTTTTGAAAAAAGCAAAGTGCTTGACAGCTAGTGGAATGACATTTAACAAAACAGTGATGGAAAGCAGCAGAGAACCTGTGAGTTTCTGAAATGCAAAATGGTGATTGCTTCTAATTACATGCTTGGCAAAACTGGAGAGTCACTCTTTTCATGGCATTTTCTAAATATGACATTGATCTAAAATTTTAGGTACACAACTGAGTGACAGAACTTTCTTATTACAAACTTTAAGACATTTTATTGCATTTTAATTAAAGACAATCCTAAACTGCTTTTGTTCCAAAACACCAGCTCTACCAAGAGGGCAGTAGCAATGACATTTGCCAGTCCAGCAGCTTAGCTGGAAAGGTGAGGCAGCCTTGTGCTCAGTGCAGAAAGGCAGGCAAAAAAGAGGTAGCCCCTCTTTCCCCAGTACAATCTTCTAGACATAAAATCTGGAAAATTAGAAAATAATTTTCAACAGTAATGGCCATGATCATCTGTCAGAAGAAAATGCAGGTATTTTTTGCTGTGTTTAAAAGTAGTACAGTCTAGCTGTAAGGTTTTGGGGATGGTGAGGCTCTAGTTTTTAAATGAAGACAGATGTGTCATTTAAATAGTGGAAAGCATGAGGTATCGCTATGTATTTTTCTATGTATGCCAGCTGGTATTTGTTTCTGGGAGGGGAGTGGGAAAGATGTTTCTTTAGCATTGCTTGCAGAGTTATAAACTGGGAGAAATACAGGCTCAGTATAGCACTGAATGAGAGCACAGACATTTGCTGTACCTGTGAGTGGTGGGTGTTCTCTCACTAACAGAAACAAGTGGCATGTTTTCACGGTTGCTTCATCTTCTTTTTTGAAAGTGCTTTCTTGGGAAATAAAGAGTGAAAAGCAGTACAGACTGATGCATCTTTGGCATTTACAATAAAAAAGACACCAAGTGGGACAAATCCTGCATATCATCCTTGGCAAATTAATTCCTCTGTGGCTTGGCCATGCATACAAACAAGGTAAGATGTGTCCTGCTGTGTAAGCACCTTTCTTGACAGGTCAGCAGGCATTTGCATTCACCATGTACACAGGCCCTCTTACAATTTATTTATTTTTCACTTAAAATAGACAAAACACAGCAATTCTTTCCTCATGGCCTGATGGTCTCTTGCATTCCAACAGTATTTGTTTCCTCCTCTTTGTTTCTATCTGTTAACAACTACTAAGAGGCATAAAATAGTTTACTGACAGAATTTTCTATGTATGTTATGCATTTATACGTATCTGTTGTAGGGATTGAGTTTTGCTTATGGGAAAGGCAGAAGTACTTTAGAATGACGAAAAAGAAAGCTGAGGTCTCTTGTGTGTCTCCAGATATGCTGTCTTTCAAACCTAGGTGGTGGAACTACTGCAGTTGAACGTGGTGGTGGTTGTTGAGGAGAGATAAAGACGGCTCCTTGGAAGGCCTTTAAGTGATCCTGCAGGTGTTGGTCATACTCTGTGCAGGGCGGGGCAGAAATCAAGAAGGCTTTGAAGAGACATTATAGTGCTAGAAGAAATAGTTGTTACTAGTTCATTCACATTTTCTGGAGAGAATTTGAACCCAAGCTATATAAGGTAGAAAAGAAGAGGGGGAAATTGTGGATGAAAATGAGAAATCAAGGACTTTCTGGAAAAGAAAAAGATTGTGGAATATTTTAATTGATTAGTTTGTTGAGGAGGGAGAACCAATTGGCTCACTTTTGAATCCTTTCGCTAACCATTGGTGCAGCAAGTTTTCCTTTGGCATCTGGTCAAAGACTATCACTTAATTCAGTTTCATTTATTCATTTCACATAATTATGACAGTGGATTATGATGACTTCAGAGTTCAAAGCTGCTTATTTGCTACAGTTGTCTACAAGGTTACTGTGGGGTGTACTTTCAGAGACTGAGTTTTTCTAAAAAACAGGATCACTGAGTGGAGTCAACCTGCATTTAGCAACAGAGTAATTTTTTTTTTAATTTTTTTTCTCAGTTACTGGGTGATCACTTGTCACTACACGGAACTGGCAAGCAGGAAGACCCAAGAAAGATGGAACAAGAGGAGCAGTTGAAATCCCCAACCAGACATACCCTGCAAAGCCTACCCAGTATGGAAGGGCACTGAGTCATGCACAGCCTTCGGCTGAGAGTTTTGGAGAACACAGCGGGAGACAGAACTACAGAGCAGCAAGCAGTAGCTGTAGACCCCGCCAGGTACCTTACCTTACACAGGGAGTGATCTGTGTCTGAGTGTCTAATAGCACACTCTAATACTTGTGGAAAACGTGTTTCATTTAAAAAATTGGTTTTATTTACTCTTTAGAGAAAAGTACAAGAAACAGTACTCTATCTTCTCTGAATCCAGTAGCAGAATATTAATTGGCCTCACTGTGAACAGCATCAGGCCTTTCTGTTCAAATACTGGAATCATGCCACAAGAACATAGAGAAAGTCTATCACTGACATATTTTGTGAAGAAAGACATTCCAGTTTCTGAAGCAAGCACCTAAGCCGTCTTCTGCAAGAAGCTGAGTGATGCTCCCTGTCAGGAGTGCACCCCAGCTAAGCACTCTCAGTGTAGGTAAGAACCCCAAGACTCTCTCTTTTGATGTCAGTAACTTGTGTAATGCATTGCCTTGTGCTGCTGCTTTGCCTAAGAAATGTACTATGAATATTTTGACTCATGGTGGTTTTTGTAATATTTATGCATATAATGTATCTGTGAGAGTCACCCTGAGCATGGTGCAGGCTGAAAAGAGCAGATAAACAGCATTAGTGCCTGCAATGTGTGCAGCACTCTTCCAGGTGCTTCACTGCAGTTTATCACTACCCTGCACATAGAAAAGATATAAATGGTGCAACTTCACTCATCAGTTGGTTTCTTAATGATACCTCTAGGAAGGAGAAAGAAGTGTAATGCAGGATCTCAACTAAAACACATGCTTTTAGACTTCAGCAGCAATAAATATTCTAGAGACATAAATAGGATCATTTAAACCGCTTGAACTCTCCTCACCTGCTTAAACAAAGCAGAAGACTGAGAAAATAGCAGACAAAACTAGTGCTGATAAATGATGCTATTATATAATGAGCAGTGCATACAGTTCTGGTCTTCAAGTGTTAACATGTTGAGGGAAGAAAGTATAGACAAGTATGGCAAGGTTGCCAAAAGTGTGGTATACGTCTGTGTGAGCAAAGACTAAATAGGCTAAGACTTTTAAACTCAGCATAAAAAGATGAATGGGAGGTATGGGTAGAAGTTACAGGGGAAGAGGGGCTGTAATTGATGTCTACAGTTCTGCAAGTGCCATAGAAATTTAGCAAGGCCTATGTTTTGTCTGCCTTTCATTAGGTGAACCTAGGAGGCATCAAATGAAATGATCAATTGGACCTTTCAAAACTAGCCAAAGCATGGAATACTTTTGTGTATCTTGTTAAATAATTTGCTACAGGGCCTTGTGAATGTCCAAATGCTGCATGGTAATCAGTTAAATATTGTTTACACAAGATTACAAAAGAAAGGGATACAACACTTTATTAAAAGAAAAACAAAAACAAAATCAAACAAAAAAGCCCTACAAAATCCCCACAAACCAACCGCAACCAATCAGAATACATCAAGTCCACCTCAAACTTAGGATGTCTGATTTGCAGACTGCTGCAGGAGGGGCAATACTGGGTAAGTGTCATACAGCTTTATGACTTCCTTCATGAATGCATCTTGCATAAAACATCTAATGTTCAGCTATGTTATTCTCAGGGTAGAATCCATACTGGCTTGATCCTGTTTAGCAGAACAAAGGTTAGCACTTGTGAGACAGATGAAGCAAACAGAGACTTGCCCTTTTATACAAAAACAGGGCAAGTTTGCCTTTAGAAGTGAGGAGTTTCTTGTGTTTATAACAACTCCCTGTCCTTTGGTTGCTGCTTTTCTCCTTTTTCTTTTTTTTATTTTTTAATTTTTAACATAAAGCAGTATTTCTTCCTAGTCCACAGTACAGGAAATAGGAGATTCTTAGTGGATAAAAGCTGGGTGGTTACCTGCTGTCTTCAGCCTTGCTCTGTAGTATATTGTTTGTGCAAATACTCTACCAGGGCACCTCAACAAGCTGCAGATTGGAGAAATCCTTTTATCTCATCTGTGGTTTGTAAACCACTCACTCCCACTAAGAAGCCAGACTTCATGAAAATCATCCCACTCAGATGAATAGAATGACTTGTGTAATTAACAACCTCAGGAAGAGGCAAATTCAGATACTGGCACAAAATAATTATTGCCGTTAACCACTTGTTAGATGTTGTAACCTTTTAATTTCATTTAGTTGTTTTCTTGCTGCTAGTGTTATCCTAACCACTGTGTTGTTGCAACAATTTTCCCTTATTTTTGCTGCATGTGATACAATCCCTTGCTGTCAGATTAGGCACTGACATTAAGATCATATAAATTTGACTAACAAGGACTAGAGAGGTAGTTCAGTAGCTGTCTGCAGCACACTAGTGGTGCATCTTTCCTCATCTTTGCCGCTTTTTCCAGAGCCACGACGATGCCATTGTTAGTGCTGACAAATAAAGAGGCAGGAGTATAATTGTTGTTGATGGTGGGCAAGAAAAGGCTGCTTTTCTCATTTTCAGGAGAGAGCATTTGCCAGACAGAAATACGAATTCTCTCCTGTTCCCCCAGGGACTATCAAAGGTTGGACATGCAGATGCAACAGCCACACACTGTGGCGTGGGCCTGCGGGAATATATATGGCTCCTGACATGATTATCTTTTCACAAGGTATTGTTAAAGATTCTGTGAGCTGGCTATGTTTTAAGAGGGGGCCATTAAACACCATCAATAATTGGGCTTCCTTAGCCCACACATCATTAGACCAACTTGTGGAAGGATCATTCTTTTTATTTCAATGAGAGACTTCGCATGAGGCAGCAGTGTGGATTTGCAGCCCAGAAAGCCAACCATATCCTAGGCTGCATCAAAAGAAGTGTGACCAGCAGGTCGAAGGAGGTGATCTTGCCCCTCTATTCTGCTCTTGTGAGACCTCACCTGGAGTATATTGTGTACAGTTCCGGTGCCCTCAACATAAAAAAGACATGGAACAGACAGAGGAGGGCCATGGGGATGATCGGGGGGGTTGGAGCACCTCCCGTATGAAGATAGGCTGAGAAAGTTGGGACTGTTCAGCCTGGAGAAGAGAAGGCTGCTTGGAGACCTCATAGCAGCCTTCCAGTATCTGAAGGGGGCCTATAAAAATTCTGGGGAGGGACTTTTCATTGGGACTGTAGTGATAGGACAAGGGGTAACGGGTTCAAACTTAAACAGTGGAAGTTTAGATTGGATATAAGGAGGAAGTTCTTTACTATGAGGGTGGTGAGGCACTGGAATGGATTGCTCAAGGAAGTTGTGAATGCTCCATCCCTGGTGGTATTCAAGGCTAGGTTGGACAGAGTCTTAGAAACATAGAATCATGGCATAGTTAGGGTTGGAAAGGACCTTAAGATCATCTGGTTCCAGCCCCCCTGCCATGGGCAGGGACACCGCACACTAAACTATGTCACCCAAGGCTTGAAAACCACCAGGGATGGAGCATTCACAGCTTCCCTGGGCAACCTATTCCGGTAACTAACCACCCTCATAGTAAAGAACTTCTTTCCATAGTGAAGGACTTCTTCCTTATATCCAATCTAAACTTCCCCTGTTTAAGTTTGAACCCATTACCCCTTGTCCTATCACTACAGTCCCTAATGAAGAGTCCCTCTCCAGCATCCCTATAGGCCACCTTCAGATACTGGAAGGCTGCTATGAGGTCTCCACACAGACTTCTCTTCTCCAGGCTGAACACCTCCAACTTCCTCAGCCTGTCTTCATATGGGAGGCGCTCCAGTCCCCTGATCATCCTCGTGGCCCTTCTCTGGACTTGTTCCAACAGTTCCATGTCCTTTTTATGTTGAGGACACCAGAACTGCACACAATACTCCAGGTGAGGTCTCATGAGAGCAGAGTAGAGGGGCAGGATCACCTCCTTTGACCTGCTGGTCACTCTCCTTTTGATGCAGTCCAGGACATGGTTGGCTTTCTGGGCTGTGAGCTCACACTGAAGCCGGCTCATGTTCATTTTCTCATCAAGCAACACCCCTAAGTCCTTCTCCCCAGGGCTACTCTTGGTCTCTTCTGTGCCAAACCTGCAGCTGTGCCTGGGATTTCTCCAACCCAGGTGTAGGACCTTGCACTTGTCATGATTAAAGTTCATGAGTTTGGCATCAGCCCAACTCCCAGCCATGTCAAGGTCCATCTGGATGGCATTCCTTCCCTCCAGCTTGGGTGATATGGTTTAGTGTGAGGTGTCCCTGCCCTTCGCAGGGAGGTTGGAACTAGATGATCTTAAGGTCCTTTCCAACCCTAACTATTCTATGATTCTATGAGTCAATGGTGGTGAGACTCCAGCTAATACTTGTGACAGCATTGGCATCAAACAGGCAACAGTGCTGAACTAGGCTACAGGGACAAAGTCTTAATATGATGGGCACATAGCAAGACCCTTTTTTTCCCACCCCAGAACACCATGTTTTGTTTTCCTTTCCATTCACATCTGATTTTCTTCTTTTCCTCTCTCTTTTAAGGTCCGTATTTGATAAAATATGTCTGTTTCTGCAGCAGGCATACTGCCTCCTCCTCTGGATTCATATTTTGCCAGCCCAACGTCTCTACCACTTCCCAGCCAGGTCAGAATATTGGGGGTGCTGCATGAGGAGAGTGCGGTTATCAGCATCTCCGGGGATCCAAAATGAGCCACTGTGAAATGGGCTGCTCCTACTAGCACGGGGACTGACATACCAAAGTGTACTCCCAATGCATCAGCAGTGTAGTTTGCCTGGACAATGTGTCAGGCAAAATTTGTTAGGTTTTTCGCAGCTCTGTTTTCTCTATCCCCAAGAGTGTCTTTGCTAAGAGAAACCATTGATTTTTGCCATCCAGCATACACACATATAAATATGATTCATTCCACCCCATTCCTCAGAGTAACTTTTGTGAGCTGTTATTCCCGCTAAAATGAGCTTTTTCATCGTTCTCTATTTCTACCTAGCACACACAATAAAATTACCAGAAGTGAAATAAACTTCCCTTGGCTTGAGAAGAAATTTTATGTGGTTGAAGGTGACACTTTCTGAAGAAGTAACAGCTAGCTTTATGTTATATTAATTTGTATGTAAACTGAGCACCAGATTTATTTGGTGTAAATACAGGGTCAAGAGAAGCAAGCATAATTGGTTTGAACCAAAAGTCTACTTCATACTTTTTACTTTAGTATCAGATGATGGTATCCATTAAAGGCCAGAATCTCCTACACTAAGTATGAAAAATCTGGCTACAAAAAATAAGGGCTTACTCAGTTGTAGAAACAAATGCTTCTGTGCATTGGGAATTTTCCAAAGTGTCTACTCGTTCAAGTTTGGTTAATAGATTAAAGCAAGTGCAACATTTTGATAAATATTTGTTAAGCGCACATATTTTGTCTGTTAAATTGATGAACATGAATGTATACTAAGTAAGTAAGGATTCTACAAAGCAAAACAAAATTTAGCTCAGCAAGACTTAGTAAGGAAATACTGGTGTATTTTTCTGGAGAAAAGGTAGGTAGAATTAAAAATTGCGTATTTTGCACTTCTCCAAAGCCATGGCAGGATGATAAGACTGCACCATGTACATGGCATTATCCTGTTTTTCCTCATTTCCACTTCTGCACAATGAAGAAACTGCAGCATCACACAGAATGTGAAGTGGCTGGACCTTGACACAAGACCTGTTTTTTTTTCCAAGCTTAACTAACTGGTACTGTGTGAGATGTAGCATGTTTTTCTAACTTGTATTTAAAGCCTTTCAGTGAAAAAAACTGTGAAGCTTCTTCTACGAAGTTCTCACTACCTTTACAATAAGGAAGTTTTCTCTAGTGTGTAACATCTGTTTCCATTGCTGCAGTTTGTGTTCTCTGTATGGATAATTAAAAATTGACTACTGTCACCTTCTTTGCAGCAGTCCTTAAGATTTTTCCTTTTTTTTTCTGTAGGCTAACAAACTGTGAGTGCACAGGCTTCTGGTAGGCTGCATTTTCAAGATGTTGGTTCATTCTCTGTTGGACTTGCTGCATTCAGCCACACCTTTTCTCAAAGAAGGACACCCCAAAGAAGAGAGGACTATCCTCCAGCTGATGCTAGAAGCACTGAGTACAGTAGGATTATTTGCTACATATTGCAAGCCACATTACAGACTAACTTGGCTAGCTTTTGCCTTTGCAAAAGTAGATTTAATATCAAGTTTCATCTAGATTTAGAATTTTTCTGAAGATCTGCTATCCACCTACTTGATATCTATCCTACATTTATGCACTTCTGCTGCCTAGATTTACAACTGAATGTTATATTCATAGATTCTTATACAATATTTTTTGTTTCAATTTCCCAGTGTGTGGAGTTTGTCTTTGGATAGGTCAACAGGACCATGTGACACACAGTCTTGGAGCTTATGTTATTTATGTATAGTACCTGAATGCATCTTTTCCCCCTTTGCTGTTTTCAGCGGTGTCACACTTCGTTCAGTTTTCAGAAAGGCAACTGGCCACAGCTCAAAATGTCAGAAGCTGGGGATATTTTTCAAGGTTCAGCAGGCATAACAGCCAATGCTTTCCAACAGCCTGCTAAAGGGAAGTAGTCAGAACTAAGTACTCCTTGATCTGTTCGTTTTCAATTAGAGATCTTTCCTCTTTTTCACTGTATTAACAACCTGCTACCAACTGACTTTCTGATACAAAAACCATTAAACAATTTGACCATCCGATGATAATTTGTTGCCAGCTTTCCTTTCCTGTTAATTACTGAATTTTGGATTTACTTTCATTTTAGATACTTATTTTTTGTCCCTTGTAGTTGCTTATAATTTGTCCCTTTGGCCACATTTTAACGATGGGGGCTTCTTTCTCTTACTTACATACTTACTTATACTTTATATAAGTGTACTTACATTATATTTACTTACCATTTAAAAAGCTAACAAATTCCACAGAAGGTGAAATGATAGAAATAAGGGATTTTTTTTTTCTTAAATAAGGTGTCATTGTGTATGTGAAATTGGAAGTTACACATGTGAAACAACTCATACATACACATATATCAAGTAGATCTAATTCAATTTCACAAATCTTCATCCTCAAGTAACTAATAATTTCACCCATGACTGTGGACTGTTAGAGTCTAATTGTCATACTGGAAAACTAAGAACTGAAATTAGGATTACTGTGCACAGAAGAAATAAGTTGAAAAATGCCCTCTCAGGTGAGAAACAGTATTCTCATAGATTTGACAGTAAGGTCCTGATATATCAAGAAATCCACATTAGTCAAAAAAAAAAAAAGGTGAAACAGAAGCTGATGGGGAGCATGTTTGGGCAAGCTAACAATAGTAGCTGTAAGGTGCACATTGTTTTACTGAATGGACTATCAAATGTTTAGACAAGATGAGGCCCATATTGGTGGACCTGGCATTCCTGGGGTAAAGGTTGGACTTGATGATCTTAAGGGTCTTTTCCAACCTAGCTGATTCTATGATTCTATGGGAGTTGTAATTAAAGGGATGTAGCAAGAAGGTGCTAGTTGAGAATCTGTCTAGCAGGAGCACTGGGAGCCCTGCAGATGTTATTTTAAAACCCCATATAATCCAAACCTTGCATTTCATAATGGAGAAATAAATATAATCTTATGCAAAGTATAACAAGGTTTTCTGAATAATTATCTGTAGTAAAAACTGTGTTCTGACATAGCAAAATTTCATAAACAAAGACCACTACAGACATTAGCTACTGAAGAAATCCCATGAAACTAATTAGATACTATGTGGAGATCTGAGTCATCATTTTACCTTATCAATGTGCCTCTCTTTCAGTTCAGTTAAACCTTCCAACAATTCACTTCCTTACTGAACAGTATAAAGGAAATGTGGAACGACACACAAGATTTCTCTACATCCTCATTGTGTTGCACTGCGAAGGTAAAGACACTTAAATTGTATTTCCCTGGATTCCCCCTATTAACTACTTGTCACCTAAGAGACACTAGGATATGTGTGGAGTCTTTTCACCTAAAATATACTGAGACATGTGTGGAGCCTTGTCACCTAAGGACACTGGGACACTTGTGAAGTCCTGCCCCTGGGACACATGCAGAATCTTGACACCGGGGCACGTGTGAAGTCTAGAAACCTAAGAGACACTGGGACATGTGTGGAGTCTTGTCACCTAAAGACACTGGGACACATGTGGAGTCTTGACACTGGGGCACATACTTAGTCTTGACAGTTAACTCCATGTTCTTCTTTGGGAAATTTGCAGCCCTGAGAGGCTCTAGTTGTTTTCTTTTGCAACTCTTGGAGCTTGAGGAACCCATTCAAGAACAATTACAGTTCTTTTTCTGGGTTTTAATTTTCTATTTTTCAATGTTTCCTTCTGTAACACCTAAAGAAAAAGGATATGGTATCTCAGAACAATGTGTTCTTATAGGAAGCAAGTAAGAAACCCAACACAATGTTTGGACCTTCTTTCACATTTCAGGACATGTACACCTACCAAGCCTACTTAAAAATACACCAGGAAGTCAGATTTTCACCTGCGCAGCCCTTCGCCTGAGTGCAGTGACAGAGATAAAACATGGCTCTATGTCACCCGCTGCTGCAGATCTCCAGACCTTCCCAAGTATAATTCTACCTTAAATTCTACTCTCGAATATTAATCTCCACTCTTGCTCCCTATGGAATGGGTTATGCTTTTTCTCTTTAATGGTGACATTATAACTATTTCTAGCTCCAGAATTCCTTTGTAAAAATTAAATTACTAAATATCAATATACTTAGAATTAGTAATAAATACTTCAATAATATTATGCAGTCACATGCTCTGGTTGCTAAGATAAGATTTAATAAGATTTAATGCATTGCAGAAAAGGAATGGAAGAAGCTGCAAGAGAGAATTTCATACTGTAGCTGTGATACGCAAAACTATTACAATTATGACCTGAGAACCGCTTATTTGCTTCAATATTGCGTGTGCTGATCTCTTCTACATTCTATGAGCATAATTTTATTTGTCCTTTAGCCTTAAGCGTTCCATACTGATCTGTCTTCCCTGCTTACTATAAAATATCATAAATTCAGAAACAGATTATGTATCAAACAGCAGCTACAAACTGGAACAGGGGCAGTTCTGTCCAAACATCAGGAAAAACTGATGAGGGCAACTGGGTACTGGCAGAGGTTGCCCAGAGATGATGGAGTCTCCATCCTTGGAGATGTCCAGAAGCCCTCTAGAAAAGGTCCTGGGCAGCCTGCTGTGGGAGAATGGGCAAGATGACCTCTAGAGTGGCCTTCAAACCTCAGCCATTCTCGGAATACATATCTGTAACTTACCAATAATGGAGACTGGCTCCATGTCTTCATAGATCGTACAAGAAAGAAATAAAGTAAATCAATTTATTTTAGACCTAATCTCATGAGAGAAAAGGATAGAGATAAGATCTGGGAACTAAAGCTCATTTCCCTTACTTTACAACCTCACTGAAGATGGTCCACAACAATATGTGGTCCAAAAGCTGAATTTTGCCAAGGTTAAAGTGGCAACACTGCAGAAAGTCAGGCCACACTGCCAGGGGGGAGAATGTCTAGTTTGCACTTGTTTTCTTGTCAGCCCTTTCATTGCAAGAATGTTAAAATTCACCAAAGTTTATTTAATTAAAACAGATCTTTTTGCATCTGCCACTGATGTTTTAGGAGAAAGGGGTCTTCTGGAGGACAATAAGGATCACTGACCCCACTCTACAGTCTCAGTAATGCTGTATCCCATCTGCTTTTTTTGAGTTTCTGATCCATTTTGACAGCATCTTACATATTCCTGTCTTAAAGGTCAAACCTGCTTCTTGCCAGTGATAACTGCTAAACGAAAATACCAGTGTTTTAGAAAAATTACCTCCATGATAGGTTAATCCCATCTTTATCAACTCAACTGGATAGGATGCTCTTGAAAAGTGAAGGGAGACATTCATCATAAGCATTTCTGAGTCTGTGAAAAGCCTAACTTAAGCTTCCGTTATAACAGACTGTAAAACTGATCAGTGCAGTATCTGGAAAATACTGGGGGATTGGCAAATGCCAAGTTTCCGCAGTCACCTTGGATTATTCTGTCAGGGAACTTGCTTGCATAACTGAATCTCCAAAGGTGCCCTCCAAAAAGATTTTAAAGGACCTTACTGAAAAAAGAGTTGCAAAAACAAGTACATTGTCATTTTTTAATATGTGTTTCTGGATCTTAAAATCACTTGAAAAAAGCCCTGAACAAACCCAGTGTATTTCAGGTAGGACTATAGAGGCATTGCTAGTTTAGCTGGTGTGTTCAAAGGGGATAAAGTATCATTTTGTGTTAGTTTGCTGTCATCAGGGTCACTCCATATATTCCCATCTGATTCTTTAGCAGATACAATTAATTTACTGTACAGTTTCAGGGGGATTGGGAGCCCACATGAACATCAGTTCAACCTTCCAGCATTTTTTTTTTTTTCTCCTGTCCTTCCTGTAACTTGCTTCTGCAACTGCTCGATTTTAAGGGACGGTAATAATTTGGCTGCCTTTCTGCCTTCTATTTCCTCTCTCAGGTCTTGTTTCTCTCTATTACATTTTTTGCCTATCTTCACAAGCTGCTTCTAGCAGGTGCCCAGCATTTTGTAAATCATTCCTTTTCCTTTATCATCCTTTAAAGGGCCCCATGCCAACTTAACTGTTCTTCCACAGTTCCTCTAATATGCCAGTTATTGCAAGCCTGCTTTTCTGAAAAGTTGGGAATTGGACTGATTCCATGTTTTTGAAAGCAATCAGGGATGCCACTTGCCATCCTGCTGACTATGCCTACTTGTGACATGGACTAGACCCTCTGGCTTTCTAAGCTCCCACCAGAGCCTAAGTGCACCTGGATATAGTCTTGGTCTCAGACTTGCTTAACATCTAAAGCTACAAGTGTCATTTAGCAGCAGTTTGCAGTTTTAGGGTGGATCTTAGGTGAGTCAATAAAATTTCCTACATTGCTATACCTGTCTATACACACATACACATAAATAAAGACACATAAAGACATACTAGTTAAAAATTCCCCCAAGTCGGTGAAGTATGTCTCATGCTTGGAATTTCTCAGTGGATGAGGGTGGAGTCTTGAGAAGTGGGGGACTTCAGCCTAGGCTCCATGTTTCAATGATGGTTCTCTAATTATCACAGACTTGAGAGTCTGTGACTACTGAGAGGTGTCCCACTCAAATGGAAATGCTGTTTGCTCCCCTCTGTGGTCCAGGAGAGCTCAAAGGTCCTCGCCTGGGACAACTAGCGTCACAAGATTATTTGCTTTAGCCAATAGTAAATCTCCATCCTGGTCATAACCTGAGTTGGTAATTACTAGAATTTTTTCAATACTCCAATAACAGTGATACTGTTCCACTCAGGCTATGATCAAGGGAAGGACTGTTCTAGGACTGTCATGGAATGATTGATTATCCCTTCTCTCACTTCCCACTGTAGGCAGGAAACAGGAGTCCCTGCTGTG